GATTTATTTATTTATTTAAATAATAATAATAATAATAATAATAATAATAATAATAATAATAATGATAATAATAATGATATTAATAAAAATGCCTGGGATGAATGGTGAACAACTCGGACAAGTACATGAAACTTGTCGTGTTTAAATGTGAAAATAATAATAATAATAATAATAATAATAATAATAATGCTGGCAAAGATAATGATAATGATAATAAGTCCGATTGAATTTTCAATGCAATTATATTTAAATAAAAATGAAGACATTAATTGGAAAATGGTGGGACTGATTTTTTTTTTTTTTTTTTTTTTTTGAGAGTGAGAGAGAAGAGAGGTAAAGAGAGAGAAAGAGAGAGATGTTTAAACGTGGAACTAACTTTAAAAAAATAAGAAATAAAACAACAAGATTTTAATAGGAAACAATAAAAAGAAAAAAAATAAGAAAACATGTTTAATTTAACATTGTTAAATGTTTTCAAATAAAAAAAAAAATTTTATTTACATGTGAAAATTCAAGAGTTGTAAAAATAAAATAAAATAAAATAAAATTTGTTTTTTTTTTGTGTGCGTTTGCGTTTGTGTTTGTTTCTTTCAGCACCTTTCCATAAAGTTTTAATTTATTTCAATGTATATTTATTTTATAATAATAATAATAATCATTATCAGTATTATAATAATAATCGTCATCGAACATTATCTTTTTTGCTGAAATTTAATTAATAATTAAATAAAATATGGTTGCCGTACCTTTCGTCGTTTGCTTTTTATAATAAATAAATAAAAAAAAATTATTACCACCGAGATAATTATTACGTAACGAAAAATTAATAAAAACGAACGAACGAACGAACGAAACTTCGCCAATTATTTTATTTATACATAAAAAAAAAAGTTCGTTATTTAATATATTATTATCATTATTATTATTTTTTTGTATAAAGTAATAAAATCTATTTGAATTTATGTTTTAAATGAAAAAATAAATTTTATCATTATTATTATTATTATTATTAGTATTTCAGGTAATAATTATTTATTCCAACAACAGGTGTGTGTGTCTGTGTGTGTGTGTGTGTTTGTTAGGTAAAACTTTTAAGATGAAAATCAGGTTCGTACGAAGAACAAGATCTGGATGTTGAATTTTTTTTTTTTTTTTTTAACTTTTCAGTTAATTTAACGATTCAAAATGGCGACGGCGGTGGTTGTGGATGAGAGAGAGAGAAAAAAAAAGTAAAAATGGTGCACCTGCCTCCTTGATATTGTTTTTTACCTTCCAGTTTTATTATTAAAACGTTTTCGTACCTTAAAAAAAAATTTTTTCTAAGTCATTCATTTTTTTTTTTTTTTTTTTTTTTTTTTTTTTAGTTTGAAATTTTAACATCCGTTTTTTTTTTCTCGTGCGAATGGTTTATCGATGCCATTTTCAAAAGTGGGAAAATTAGCGTACCTGAATTAAATAAAATACATTTTACGGGGGGAAAGGAGGGGGGGGAGGGAGTTTTTTGTGCGTTCTTCTGCTCTTGTACAAAAATTCAATCCACACGTTGTAATAATAAAATTATAGTTCATACATAAATAATTCTTATCACAATTTAATTTAATTACCTACGTAATAATTCCTAACATTTATCGACCGATAACCGAAAAAAATTATTAATATTATTATCATTACAATAAAATATAACAGTAGTATACTTTTTTGGGGGGGGGAAAAAAATGTGCGAGTGGTGGTCATCGTCGTCATCTTTCTTATCTCTGTCTGTCTTATCATTTTATACGTTTGTCCGTCATAAATGTTATCATTTATTAATATTAGATAATGATGATGAATGCCCGAAATGTTTTTAATGAATTACAGGAAATTAATTATATTTATCTACGTGATATATCTGTCTGTACTCACCGGATATTTATCTTTAAATTCTCGCATCCGCCACACCTGGACATAAAAAAAAATTTTTTTAGATTTTATTTATTTGCGGATAACATTTTTTTTTTTTAATTATTTAAATTTAAATATTAATGATGATAAGATACATCGTTTTCCATACGTTTATTATCATATCATTTTAATACTAAAAAACTAAAATTTATTATATGAATCAATCAAATGATAAAAAAAAATAAAAAAAAAATTCGAACGACCGAACGATCCGACCAATCAGAATCGAGTTTTTTTTTCTTTTAAACGATTTTATTAAAATTTATTTAAAAACGACGATTCGATCGTTAAATTTTACCTACTAAAAAAACTTTTTTTATCACGAATATTATATTTCACGCACGTCATCATCACACGCACACGCACACTCACTTACGCAATATTTAAAAAATTAAATGTATTCTTACTTATCCAATTTGTATGTATATACATTCAACTAAAAAATTACGCACTTTTTACGCGTAATTTATTTTATATTATTATTATTATTGTTACCGCATCCGTTAAATTTTACACGTTTTTTTCTTCCTTTTTTCTTTTTTCCTCCTTTTTTTTCTTTCTTTTTTCTTTTGCTTTAACCGTGTTTTACGGATGTAAATTTATTACTCTCTATTTTTTCTCTCTCTCTCTTTCTCTTTTTTATTTTTTTTTATTTTCTCGTTTCTTTTAAGCTATCAAAAATGGAAAATCAACGGGAATTTAATAATGGGAAGAAGAAGAAGAAAACCTTTTTTTTTTTTTTTTTTTTACAATAACAAAGGTTTAATGTTTTTATATGCGACCTTAGAGAGGTTTTTATTTTAACCCCCAAGTATTATTATTATTGTTATTATTATTTTAAACATTTTTTATATTACTTTTGATATTTTTATTACAATTTTTAACTTTAATATCTTTTGTTATATAAAAATATTCGTGTGTGCGTATGTGATGATGCGTTTCTATCCACGTATCGTAGCGTGGCAGTAGCAATAGCAGGTAGTTATTAAATAAAAATAAAATAAAAAAAATTCAAGTAATCAAAATAATGAATTTCCCTTTTCTTTCCTTCTTTTTTTTTTTAATAATAAAATAGGCAAGGAGAGAGAGGGGGAGGGGAGGAAAAGAGGGTAAGTTTTAAAAAAAAAAAATTCACAGTTTTTTTTTATAGCGTTATAAAAAAAATAGCTTTTAATAAACCGACCTGTTTTTTTTTTTTTTTTTTTTTTTTTTCATAAACCTCCCCGTAATATTTTTTCTCTTTCTACTCGTAATAATTCATAAAAGTTTTTATTTTTTAAATCTTTTTTTAATTTTATAGAGCATATTAATTTATATCAAAAAAAAAAAATTATAGCAAAAAAATTTTATTATTATTATTCTATTAATAAAAAATAAATTAATAATAATAGTTTTATTATTGAAAATTGATTTATTTGCGTTGGGAAAATTTTTTGTTACGTCACAATTTTTCCGACGCCATCATTTTGTTTAACGTGTAACAAACGAAAGAAAAATTAAATTCATTTATTTTTTTTTCTGCCAACGCCCCCTCCCCCCGTCCCCCAAAATTTCAATTTAATTTTTTAAATAATAATAATTATTATTAAACGAAACGAAAAAGAAAAAAAAAGAAAGGTTGCAAAATAAATTTTTTATTAATTTTTTTTCTTGTTTTTTTAAATTAAAAATTATAATTATAATTACAATTAAAAAAAAAAAAAAACGTGGCAAAAGATTATTTTAATAACAACAACAAAAAAAACAAGAAAAAAGTTTTTTTTATAAATAAAATTTTGGGGTTTATATAAATATAAAAAAATAAAAAAATAAACAAACCCGAAACCTT